CAAAACCAAAAAGCTAGGTAAGACCAAAGAAAGAAAAAAAAACTATCTAATACGAGAAAGGCCAATAACATACAGTGTACCATTCTGTACCTGCACTAGTTTCTATTACCGTGGTATCCCTAACGGTTTTAAATCTTATTACTTCTTGTTCTTACGAATCGTCCTGCTACTCGACACTTCTCTAGCGTAGTGATATGAGTAAGTTAAATCTGAGGATCTGAATTTGGGTATCGCAGTGGAAATAAATTATTGCTAATTGAAAAAAATTGCAAATTTATGTGGTTGTTTAATGTAGCGGGACAGTTAAAAAATGCGAGAGAGTATGTGCTTTTGAAGTTTTCAAGTTTTTTTGACATTTCTCTTACGTCGTTAATATTTACATTCGTTGCGATTTGTTCACATTATTGATTTTGTGAGTCCAGGGGCGTCAAATAATGTCTGAAAAAGTTTCTCGAAAAATCAAAAATTTTCCATGAAAACGAACTCAAAATCCGCATTTTAAGAATCGAACCAATGTCATTATCTCAAAAACGATTGAAATTTTTTCTTCAAACTTTTCGTGCAGATAATTCTAAAGGCACTGTGTAAGATGACATATAATCCATTTTACTGAATTCTTCCGTTTTTTTTAGTTTCGCAAATGTATTTTCTTTGAAATATCTTTCTCGCCGCTAATAAGGCATTTCCAGCGATTCTTGTACATTGTTACGTTTGTGAGTAGAAGAGCTTATACGCCGTAATTTTTTTTTAAACTACACATTTTTCTGTGAAGAAGAACTACAAATTTTGCTTTTCCAGTAACACATAACCGACATTTTCGTAAAAATGACTCCATGTTTTTCAATGAAAATGTACATATGGAACCAAGTTTGTCCGGCTCACTACTCTTCTGTAATATTCTAAAGATGCAAGTGGATGCAAAAAACAAAAGAAAAGAACAAAATGACGTTTACGTCATCTTATACTGCACATTTATCACTATTCCTACCGAAAGTTTAATGAAATTTTTATTTCGTTATCAAGATCTTCTTTTTGAGATCTTTTTATTTTTTTATTTTTTTTTATTTTGCACATATTTCATTTGATATGTCATTAAAACTAGTAAAATTTTCAATAAATATGAGCGACCTTAATTTAAGAACTTATTATGAAGAATAAATTTCAAATGAATAAATAATCTTTAAATTCCATTTTGTAGACATAGGATGACGCCGAAAAATTCAAACTTTTGCCTTCAGAGTTAAAAGTCAAATTCGCATCTATGTCACAATTGTAAGTGAATTTTACTCCACTCTTACATAGCGTTTAAAGACAAAATTTAATCATTTTTTTAAATTGAAAATGTTGCAGAGGTTTAATGTAAAAGTTCTCCCAAAACTTAACAAATGTTATTCAAAATCGCCGAGCTTCGAATGAAATGTGATCGAGACGGATTTATTCCGTTTGGAAATAATTCAACGCCTAGTTTAGGTATTAGTGTTGTTTCCAGTCGAAAGACACATTCAGTCAGATGGTCGACCTGATCGTCCATTTGTGTGTCCGTTAGTCTGCCGGTTCTGTCGGTATGTCTCTCCATACGTCTGTCAGTACATTTGTCATGTCCATCCGTTTCCCTACCAGTCGGACTATCCGTCTGAATGTCCGTCTCTCCATCAGTCTGTCCGTACGTCTGTCCAGACAGAGATTGCGACGTAATAAAACTACAATATTAAAGGTAGAATTTTACCTTAAGTGATATTTGTTCCGAGAGGGTTTTCCCTTTATTGAAATCTGTTCCATACAGATAGATTTTGAAATAAAGTCATGTACAATTTTTCGAGAATTTGAGTACTTTTTGAATAATTTTGCGTGAAAGGTCGGGAGAAAAAGTACGTGCTGTTGTATCACCACAAGTTTTAAAGTTTTCCGGACCCACGAATATCTTGATAAAAATTAGAAATTCTGAACATCATAAATGGGAGGCGGATTTTAATGCAATGTCATTTTTTCATTTTAGAACAATGCATTTTAGTATGTACATTAATTTTATGTTATGACAATAGCAAATACCCCAGTTTTATTTGGCATTTTTCGTTGATTTCAACCAATAAATCTTTTTTTCCCTTTTCCCGTCATTTTTAAAGCATTTTTCGTTGGATTCATTGATTTTAATATCATTTTCATGGTACATGCTAAAAAAATATTTACGAGATGTAAAAAATGTTATCCACAATAGCCTATCTATTTCTTCGCTCAGAAATTGTAATGTCAGCCGTTGTAAGTCTATAATCTAAAGTTCCTGTGACGCCTATCAGCGCCATTATCGGGTCCGATGATTTCGGGTCACTAAAGACAGATTTCCTGGTAAAGAACAGAACAAACCAAACGTTTGCGAGCTGACTTCACTTGAAAGAAAGACTCCTCGATTACTCAGTAACATATCCAACAGTTTGAGTTGTTCATCTGACCAGGTTTGGATCAAATTTCTTTGTCTTTTTTCGCTTGTATGGCATTTTAAAAACATTAAGAGAATTTTAAGGATCATTTTTGGCGATTTTTTAGGTCATCATAATCTGCCCACTAATCATAAAGATCTGAATGGATATTTCAGAGAAAAAATGCAGTTGTTTTTGATAAAATTTGGTTTTGTTAGTTCCCATACGCTTAAAAACATTTGGGTTTTTGAAAAAACTATAATTAGGAGGTATTTTCCCCAGACGTCCTCTTTTTGAAGTAAGAAAAACTGTCTGGGTCTTTTTAACAAGAAAGGGCGAAATGTCTTTTTTATTCGGAAGGGGGTATACTTTTAAATGCCACATAGTCTATGATGTACAAAAGTTACTGTGGTTTTTTGAACTTGAGCCCACGTCATCATAACATTTTTTGCTGTATAAATATATGACATTTAACTTCTTTGTCGTCTAACAACGGCCAAAATCGTTAACTGGTACAACGTATTGTATCTGGTGTCGGCTACATATTGTGTTAGTACGATTCTGTTGGTCTTTGGAGTTTTGGGGCGTTTATATTTCGAGCAGGATGCCAAAAAGAAAAGCCATGTTTAATGATATACTAAAAAAAGTTCAAAGTAAGAAAAAACAGAGTTCGAATTGCTGAGAGATATTTCATCATCCAACAAATACTACTGGTGTAAAACGGTGTAAAAGTGGATAAAACAGTAATGTTAAATACGTAGACCTGTAGTGTCGCTGAGAAAGTGATGACATTGATTGAAATATTTATTTTGTCCGTAGTATGTATTTTGTTTTAATAAAAGTAAATTATATTAATAAACATTTTATTTGAAGTGTCCTCTTTTTTATAAGAAATGTCATCTTTTCTCTTGATGGAAATATGGTAGCTCTAAGAGATACTACAAAACTTCTGTGTTAACATACGTATTTAACTAAGATATACGCTGGTGTTTGTGAAAATTGCAACATAAAGAAGGAGCCATACGTTTGCAATGAAGTTAATTCCCCAGATTAGGAATATCACAATATACAAATAATTTCAATTACAGAACTGAACGTCCATTTTGACCTTGAGAAGACGGTGTGAAGCCGCCACGCGCTGCCATCACATCCTCTACATAAATTCAAAGAGAGCCTGGATGTGCTGCTGGGGAACACATCTCCACGCAGTTTCTATGCGTGATCACAAAGCATCGACAGAGTCGGCAGGAGGACCAGAACGAACAAGTTGCCGACCGATCATATCCCAGACATGTTCGATGAGCGACATGTCAGGCGAACGTGTGGGCCAGGGAAGCAGTGGCACCCAGTCGTTTTTTGCCGAATATTTTCACATTCCTCGTCGCAAGAGGTGGGGAATTGTCCTGCTGAACTATGGCATGTGGAGCCGCTTACATGAGGGGCAATGCCTCGGGCTCTAAAATCCCTCTATTGTAGCAGTTGTTGTTCAGATTGCCCTCAAAACGTATGTGGCGTAATCGCACATTGCAATCAATGGTGCTCCAAACCATTACAGTTGCAGTTTTTCCGCTATGGCATAAACATAAAAAAGTTCTTAATCAAAATCACGATAAATAAATAAAGATATTGTCTAGTATCAATACTTTTTATTCAGCTTATGATCGTTTCGATCGCGTAGCGATCATCGTCTGCCTGGCAGAACTTTGTTTTCGGCCCAGAAGCTGCAAGCTTAAGGATGATCGCTACGCGATCGAAACGATCATAAGCTGAATAAAAAGTATTGATACCAGACAATATCTTTATTTATCATAATAAAAAGGTATCTACCTCACCAGCGATCCAATTAAATCAAAATCACGTTAATACCATGTATTTAAGTTCAGTTTGCTCTGTCCTTGGAGTCTGTATAAATTTAGGGAAAATTTTGAACAATTTTTGAGAAAATCGTGTTTTAAAATTGACTCGTATTTCACTCAAATTTGCACGGAACTACTAATATTCTCGAAAAAATGAATTGATATTAATTAAGGAACTAATTGTGAACAACAAATCTCGTAGGAATAAAAAAACGCTAATCTTCGATAATGTACTCGTACGTGAGAGTCCAAGAAATTTAAAGCTTTTGCAATTTTAGAAATTTTAGAGATGATTGTGCCTGTGCCATTTTTATAGGTGTATTTCATTCCATCTTTCCTAGAAATTAAAAAAAAAATAAAGTACTAAAAGAGTGAAAATTCCCCATGGTTTCGTCTGAACCCACTCCTAAATTTCAAAAAAAAAACTTTCAAATTCACAGCGATGAGTAGGGCCAGATTGCTCGAGAATATTAATTATGGGGAAAAAACTAAGAAAAGTTCAGGCGTTAGTGTTTTCAGAGATGGTCATCCTGCCGAAAACAATTTTTTCGGTATAAAGAAAACGCAAAACGTTAATTCTGACTACAGTTCATATCAAAGAATGTCATTTGCTGCAATTAGATGCAAGAGCAGCCTATTTTTACGTTATCGGGAAGTAAGAAGTTCCTATAAACAGAAGGCATTATATTTCAGTAGCTTGTGTATATAAGATTTTAGAATTGTGTTTAAGAAGGCAAAGTCGATGGGAAACTGGTTTAAAGTCGGACGCCTATTGTTGGAACAAGAGGAAGCAAGTCCGGGACTCGCTCGCCGCGCGCGACGCTACACACTGCCGGCGGCGCTGGTCGACGGGGCAGCCGTCGGCATCCATCCGACTTCCGAGCGATTAGATTGCGAACAGACACAGTTTGGCTGGCCTGGCGCTGCGCGCCCGCCACGGCCAGTATCTCTGGCCGCGCGCGCGCCAACGCCAGTGCGCTTGCACGCGGATCCGCACGTGCCGCTGTCACCGCGCCTCGACTCGCCGCGCCGCCTCGCCCACCTCTCGCCCCGCCCGCGCCCCCGGCGCTCCATGCTGCACTATGACTGCCGGTAAGTGACTTCGCCCCCCAAGGGCCGCCGCCTTCGGGGCTAATTCTGCCGAAACGGACTGCAAACATATAGTTCGCTTTTCGCGACCTTAACACACGAAACAATTTGTGGAAGTTTTACGAAAATACAGTTTTTATTAATCCCGACTTGTGAACTCTGCAGAAAGTTAAAAGTGATTATAGTCTTCCAAAAACAAACACTTTTTTAAACAAAACGTTATGTCGTTTTTCCTTTCCAGGTAGCTGCAATACTCGGCTGTATGCGAAATATCCCCGAGTTGAACAAACTTCGTACCATGACTCGAATTATTTCTGAAACTTCGCCAAATTTTGCGTCAAACGTGTTGATTGGATGTTTGAGTAGATTTTCATAGATTTTTTTATATTGGATGCGAAACTAAAAGAATCACACGTCATGTTTCTGTATTTGACACGTTGGCAAACTATGCGAGTGTAATGAGCGGGCGGTCAATCATTGGCCGTTTTCTTATTCTATGTACCGTGAGCAGTTTTGACGTGTTGGATATTATTAAAACACGTGAAGCCAGGGGATTTTATATTCGAAAATATTTTCTTAAAGGCTAAATATGTGTCTTTATATCAATAATGGTAAAACTTTAGATTAATTAATACTCATTAATTAGCATAAAGTTTTCATCATAATTACCACAAAGAATAATAAAATTCTTCAATTTTAGATTCGACTACTAGTGAATTTGTATTACATTATTATTGGCTCAAAATTTATTTTGAAAATTTTATGTACTAGTGTGAGAGCTGTAGATAAAAGACTATTCACGGAGTAACAGTTTGTATTATCCATTTATGAAATATAATTGCCAAGCTTGTTTCTACCTAATACATTGTATTTGTACAAATAATCTGTATTTGTTTCTCTTAACTCTTGATTATGGATTATTATTTTAACATTGTCATATTATTTATTATATATACGCTTCATATTATATTAATTAATACTCATTATTAATATTTTAAATTAAATTGACATATTTATGTAGATGTACTCAACAATATCTTAAAAACTTGACTCTGAACCAAATCCATTTACGCTTCTGTGGATAAGGATACGCAGTTACAGCTTCTGTGGATAAGGACAAAGTCTCGAAACGTCCAAGATACGAAAATAAACGAACAAATACTTAAATAAACTTTTAAAACTCTTTTTATATATTGTATAACTAACATCCTACAGAATGTTGCAGTGCTTAAGACTTTCAAACCTCTAACAAAATTAGTATAGTAAAATTTATTCCTTACATTTCTACATCATGAACTCCCTTTGTCCAGCTTCTCCGGAGTGGCGCTTGCTTATTATATAAAGAGTGCAATGTAGTAATCACGCGGACCGAAAAAGTGCACAACGGGACGTCATCCTCAATTGCAGCATCGCCCTTGATCGCACACGGTTTTCGAAAGGGGGAGTTCTCTGATTTCTCCTCCCCTGAAAACGAACATGAGCTTTCGTAATATTCCTGCCTGGCTATTCACCTACATCAGTATTCATGTGTCATTCATTTCAAGTGTAACAACAGTTCTGTGATACGATATGTCAATTGTTGCGTGCTAATTTAAAAAATGAATTCCTATTGTGTAAAATGATTGCGTTTGAGGTTGTAGGATGCAATCGGACGCAATCGAACATCGTGTATACAACTTTAAACATCTTCCCACAATGCTATTTGTTCTCAGTGGTACTATCGTTGAAATGTCGAATCCTGAATTCAATTACTGTTTTTTAGTTGTATCATATATAATCGTATTTTTGACGAGGAAGGTTACACTCGAGTTCTTAAAAAAGAAGATTTATAAGAACAAAAAGTGAAAATCACACTTTTTTAGTATTTATAAAATCTGTATTTAAATTTTCTGCAATGTGCAATGTTTCTGAAATACGTTTTAGCTACTAAAAGTGAGTGGACATTACAGTTAAAGATTTTAGTCCTTTTTTTACATACAAAAAAAGGAATTTTATTTGTAGTAAATTGTTATTACTACGTTATTTTTCTATTAATAGTATGTTTTATTTTAATTTGCGTTTTATTTTTATTTAATGTCTAAAACATTAAAACCTTATATGAAGTGCAAGGGAGAAGTACAATCTCTTAACGTTTTCTAGAGCTCTTGAATCCCTACACCCATTCTTTTGCTAAACTAACAACAATTTCAAATTTGGATAAGGGTAAAAACAAGTGCATTTGAAAAAAATTGATAGCAATAAATATTCACTCGACGGTAATTAAAACTATAGGTGTCTCAGAATATATGTTACAAAATTCTAGGGCACGTAGGGATCGAAAACCATATATTTTTGGCAATGAACATATAGTTTAAAATTTCATATAACAGAGTTACCTACGTCCCTCCCTGTCTATTTATCCCTAATTACTGGGCAATTTCTTTTGCACAGTTGTTCTGCGGGTCATGTTTTGACGCAGTCAAGGAGTTTTCATATAATTGTTGGACATTTGTGCGTACAGGGTTGTCTAATATTCAGGGGCAAATAACACTTATGTGACTTCGTTATGTGATATACCCTTATACACTATGTGATCAAAAGTATCCGGACACGTGCAAAATGATGTTATGATGTGGTCGTGTTTTTCATACAAGGAGGCTTGCATCCCTTGTTGGTTTGTATGGCACTATCACAGCACACGCTTACGTTGATGTTTTAAACACCTTGCTTCCCTCTGTTGAAGAGCAATTCGATGATGGCGATTGCATCTTTCAACACGATCGAGCACCTGTCTATACTGCACGGCCTGTGGCCTGAGTGATTACATGGCAATAACATCTTTGTTGTTGACTGGCCTGCACAGAGTCTTGACTTGAATCCTATCAAACACCTTTGGGATATTTTGGAACTCTGATTTCGTCCTCACGACCTACATCGATACCTCTCCTCAGTGTAGTACTCCGTGAAGAATGGGCTGCCAGTCCCCATTGAAAGTATGCCTGCGAGAGTGGAAGCTTTTGTGAAGTCTAAGGGGAGCCAACACCCTATTGAATTCCAGTATTACCGATGGAGGGTACTGCGAACTGGTCAATCATTTTCAGTTCCGTGTCCTGATACTTTTGATCACATAGTGTATGGTCATTGACAGAAAATAATCGTTTTTGATCCCTCTACACACCCTAAAAGTTTGTAACACTTATATTCTGAGAGTCTGTTTTTGTTCAATACTTCTTACAGGCATTCTTTTAGATTAAACAGTACAAACTAATGTGTTTATGTAGTTGTTGAAATATATATTATTTTTGTTTTTGATGCTTAATACATATATTTTACTTGGCATTTAAAATTGCTTGATGATTTCATCTAACAATGTTTTCTAAAGAAACTTAGGTACTTGTATTCTGGCAATTGTATATGTGTATATGGAAATACCCCCGCTGGTAGCGAACTAGCCACTATCCTGTGTTCGATTCCCGGATGGAAATGATGTGATGTCAAAAATGAATATCATTTTTTTAGAGCCTTGTCCCAGTTCTCATACCTGGTAGACAACCTGAATGGTTCTCGCCAGTAGATAATGTCAAAGAGACGACGTAAGAGGGTTGTCACCTGCTTTCCACACGTCTTCTGTCAGGCTGGGGCACCCTGGCAGGGCCCTAGTCTTACGAGGCTGTAAAATGTCTTGACCCGAGAGGTTGATGCCGATGGATAACCTCTTTTCCGGCTGCACTGCCTAATGAGATTATTCAAAACCACACTCTGTAGATGGAACTATTAAATTAATTTTATACAAATGGAGAGCATATAAAACATTTTAACGTTCTTTGAGAGGGGAATAGTAATAGTAAAGAAGTAAGATACTTACACGATTCTTGCCCTTAAAACTGAATTAACATTAATTTATGCGTATGTAATGTTGCTTTGAAGTTTCGTTAATATGAAATGTATTACTATAAGAAGATTGTTAGAGCATCGAATGGATGACTCGATGTCAAAGTGGTCTAGAACTCGATGAGTAACGGGTTATTTAACGAGAGCGAGTTAACGTATTAGTGGAATAGAGACTACTGGTCTCAGAGGCGACGTTTTTGGTTTCCTTGTTTTTCATAAATTTGGTACATTTCCTCAAATAAAATAAAAAATACATAATTTGGAAAATAAATATATTTTGTTGAAAGACAAAATAACCCTTTTCAAAACTAACATCTTTGAGAACCAAAATAATAATTTAATTACTCAAAGGACAGAGTACTGTAATACAGTTAATTACACGAAAAATTCATGGATAAGCAATGTTTCCTTCGGATTCAATCCTGCTCAGGTTCTGGAAGGAAGCATTCTACCACAGACAAAAGAACGCTTTTCTAATATAATTGCTCGCATTAATTATTCCGCCAAGTGTCGGTCAATGTTTGAAATTCTCGCATGATAATTAGACTTTTACAAATAATATTGACATGTGGCGTGTCTTCTATCAAACGGAATTAGAACATTAATTACTGAAATACATATATTTATCTCTCTCAAAACAAGCATTGCGGAAACTACGTTACTAGTGGTGCTACAAATAGCACAGACTCTCCCGCAGCAGTTTTCTATGTTCTTTGGTATCGGCTAGCTTCTCGGACTTGTCACATACTCTTGCCAGCTGCCATCTATCACCGACTGAACTACATTTCTTTCTTAATGTTTTGGTTTCATAATAGTACAGCGGAAATATTATTTTAAGAATATTAAAGAACAGTAAAACCTTGCCATAAATGGCAATTTCTTTGACAAATTTGGAGCCGTTTTATGAAAATTGTGTTTAAGTGCTACTGTAAATAAGAAATTTAAACCTCTTTTCAGAGAAAACTATTGAGTTTCTGGTAACTTCATACGAAGTCACTTCAAGTACGTTTAGTAACAATTGCAATAGTGTTTACAAATTGCGGGAAATGTGCAAAATAAAGGCGTGAGAGATCATTCATAAAAATTATATTAGTGTAATGTTTGAAAAACCAAAAAAATACACCGAAATGAACTTTACGTCACATCAAAGAGTGAAATTAACACTATGCCTTCGACAAGTTTGAAGACAAAATTTCTAGCTGTTTTTTGAAAATGGCGTTTGAGCGTTTCTGAAAATGCGGAAGTTTGAGCTAGTTTTCACAAAAAATGGTTGTTTTTTGCGAAACTTTTTATGACATTACTTAAAGCACATGTTCTCATAAATATTATAATGTGAACAAATTGCCGCTAATGTAAATATTAACGACGTGAGAAAATACATTTTGTAATTTTTGAAAAACAAAAGAATAGAGCAATATGGTGTTTATGTCATCTTATAGAGTACATTTAGCACTATCCATACCAAAAGTGTAAAGAAAACATTTGGAGACGTTTTTGAGAAAACCTTGTTTTGTAATTTTTTTAAATTGCACATGTTCATTGATTTGGAATTTTGAAAAAAATGTGCTTTGGGCGGCGGGAATAGATGGCAGCGGGAAAAGAGTTTGATGCAAGTTCGAATAGCTAGCCGAGACCAAAGTAAATAGAAAACGAATTCGGTAAAGTCATTCTGTAGTACCAATAGTTCAACTAACTGAATGTGCGTTTTGTCTAACTGAAAACACTTTAAAGACCCTTTCTGAATGCGATTTTGTTAATTCCATAATTAGCTAGTGTAAATTTGAATTACGTATTTTATGGAGAGACGCAAAAAACTTTCAGCACGCCTTTTTTAGATGGACTACATTATTTGAGGGGGGCACCATTAAGGTTTTGAATCGGGACCCCGGAAGGGCTAGATATGCGCACTGCGGCTTGAATATATTCTAGTTGATATTGTGGTTGCAACACTAGGATTGTTTACCTTCTAGCCTTTGTATACCTAATCCTCAATAACGTGGAGACTCCGCACTGAAGTGAGCCTACACGCAGCATGAAGAAGTAAGTACAACTCTGTCTGAGTCCTCGCTGATCACCTGCGCAAAGAGAGCCGGCTCTGTTCCCAGCTATTCACCATTATTATCCTGGTTGGGGCGTCGTCACTTTTCTCGGGCTGACAGGATCCTGTTTATCTATCCTCTTCGCTGTCATCTGTTCTCTTCTATAGAAGAGAACTCCCCGGAGTGTAGTTTTCTTCCTCCTCAGCTACGATGGAGTCCTCTAGTTCCTCGCAACGACGAATTGGAATAAAGAGCGGTGTAGCCGCCACGCAAATCCAGTATGTGCGTCAGAGCGTGCTTGGCTCTCAAATCTCAGAGTTAATTCCACATCGTGTGAGTTGGAAAATCCAATTCGAGCTTACAGACAGAATTCAAATGATTAAATATAGAATGTAAATTTAGAAAAGTAAAAATATAAAGAATGAAAATAAAATAAATGAACCAATGAATAAAGCTGTTATGAATAGAGAAAATGTTCAGATTAGCGACGTACTGGTTAATATCTCACGCACACGTTACTCAGCGAATGTTTCCCTCAATCATGTATTCTTTCCTTCCCTCCTTCTTAATAGTCAGGGATTTTCTTCTCTTTCATATTATGTTGCATATATCTATGATTCACCATATCCTGGTTCTATTCCCACGAATGTACCGTTTGTGCAGGACGCCGAACTTGAAGCCTTTCTGTAATGGAAGATCACTAATGTCTTCTAATTTCTCGTTCGCAGCTGGGTAAGATTTCTCTTTGCTTCTCGATTGGTGGAAATTTGTACTACTCAGGTCAGACCACCGCACAGTGGGACTAGAGGAGGTGAAAGTTGGCAAAAAATTCAAAAGCGAAATATGCTTCAGTAGCTCCATTTCACATAAAGTGTAGAAAAAATTAAACCTACAAGAAACAATTCTCACAAAAGGAAACAATTATTGATACTGAAACATTTACTAAAGTAAAACTACAACCACTTCCAGACCACACAGTTGTGCGTATTATGCAAGCACAGAAAGATGTCTTGACTAATAATGTTTTAGAAAATTCAGGTAAATTGTATTTGTTTAGTAAATGGCAAGTTGATGTATCACATCAATACCAATGTAAGCAGAAATTTATTAAAATTTCCGAATTACTTCTCCGAAGCACCCGATGCAAGTATTTTCATTACATCATTAGTGCCCCTGAAATTTAATTTTAAAAGCGCCAAGTAAAGTAAAAAAATATAATATAGCAAAAAAGACTTTAAATATTTTGCAGACCCATCAGATTTCAATTTGCTCAGGAATTCCCTGCCCTTTCCAAAAATGAGTTTTTCATTTTAAGAGTAATCTTAATCAACTGCAATCGATAAAAAAAGTAAAAACAAAATAACAAACGATGAAACCAGTGAAAGTCTGCCACACTTTGATATTTACGATGTTAAATGGAAAAATCTGTAATGTACTGACCGAAATCAGGCATACTATAAAGCGATGGTATATTTGTGCACTGAAGTCCAAAGACTTTAATGATATTGATAAATCTCCAAGGGAGTCAAAGATAAAATATGAAGTTTAGAATTTCGGTACACAATTCTTGAATTATATTGTTAACATGCATTTTACATGTACATTAAATCAGCTACGAAATAAGATATTCAGATGAAATTGAAGACTCTCATTCATTGACGAACCTAAGCAAGGGTACGGGAGAACTCATGAAAGTAACACTGCCAGTCAATTTTATTCAGTCCAAAATATCAGCAGAAATAATAGTTCATACTGAAGTCATAAAAGTATTTAAAATAATATTACAAAACATACGGACAATTAACACAATTAAGTGAAAAAGCAAAATAAGCCAGCAACATGTTAAAAAAATATAAAGTTTCACCAGAAAAATATCCAGAGAGAAAACTAGCAAGCAAGTGCGTTATAGGCTGTAAATAGCATATGACCCACTGATTTCGGAAATGGAAAAGAGAAAAAAAAGGCATTTGACACAGACGTTACATCAATGTTAATGCCTTCAAGTACAAATTCACTACTTGAAGAAGTGTCACCTGAAAAAAGTTCAGACTCCTAAGTTACGTAATTAAATATTTGAAGGTTAAAAATTTGAAGAAGTCATATTTCAATTTTTTCCAAAACCTTTAAAATTTTCAAAAAATGGATTCATTGCTTTTTATTAAATTTTGTTGTTGGATACTGTGAAGAATGTTTAAGAGAATGATGCAGGTCTTATAACCGTTGAAAATTCTGAATTGCAAAACTTCAAAAATTGTTTGGCGTCTTCCTAGAACATCAATTATAAAGATATAGATTTTTTTCTTAATGAAATCTGTTCCTTAATAAATTTTGAAATAAAGTCATGTACGATTTATCGAAAATTTGAGAACTTTTCACGTAATTGTGCGTGAAAGTATATTGAGAAATGTCATCAAGAAAATTAATGAAGTTTGTATGGTGTAAGTCAAATCTTTCTATAAATGGAACACAATGCTGCTTGCGGTGAGTTTGATCTGGGAAGTGATGCAGCTGTTCGGAGTTTAAATTGGGGAAATCAATCAACCAGTGACCTATTGAAGTGAGATGAATGAAGAGTGATTGGACTTTATGAAGAGGTCATAACTAAATGCGAAGAATCCCTATATTCCCATTGACTAAACGAAAA